TATGGAGAGATTTCACTAGCTCTTCCTTTCACTTGGTTTGCTTGCCTTTTTCTCTGCTCTTAAACAAAAGAACAAAAACCCTCAATATTCAATATATACTAGAACTCACAAAGCTTCACAACCAAAGCAAGAATCCTTACCTTAGGATGCCTTAGGTTGATTTTCTACCCCAAATCACTTCAAAAACCCTTCAAAACTTCTTGAACAAAAGAAAGAGAAATTGAGAGGAAGCAAGAGAGGAGAGTGGCGATGGAGAAGAAGAATGAAGTGTTTCCAATGACTTAATTCCTTTTAATGAAATTTATACACAAGCATTCCCATTTTGCCCTTACTCTTCTTTAGGAATTCTATCTATATCCTTTGATTCATTACAAACACACCCCTATAGCAACATATTCTCTATGAAAATTTCTTACATTTTACTCCCCACTTTTCCTGCTAACTAGGTGTAGAATGGTCAAATTGCCTTTAGGGAAGAAAATATCTAAAACTTAACAAACATTTTGGTTGGCATGTCGCCGCGGCGAAACTGTCCAACAGCTTCCCCCATGGCTACAACACCTCTTCGCCGCGGCGAAGTATGGAATACTGAACTTCTTCTATTTTCAACCAATATCAAGGCAAGTGTTCAACATAACACTCAATCAAAGGTCAACCAAACAATATTACTAAGAAACCAACTCAAATAAGAGCAAAAGAAGAAACAATAACTACGTACCTCAAGTGGGGCGTTACACTACCCAAAGTCGATTACACGGGTTTCATCCTAGGTTGGGTTTTAAAACATTGGGTAAAAGAGGTACAAATTCTCTCTCTTTTTTTATTCATTTCTCTCTATTTTCTTTCTATTTAAACAGTCAATCACCATAAATTTCATTAAAAAAATCATTAAAATAAATACATCTTCTATAATATATATACATGAGTGTTTCAGCCTTTAAAAAAAAAGCCAATTTTTATTTCTTGTACGGCTCTAAATTGTAGGGCGACGTCATAAAATTTTCATGGGCCTCAAGTTGTGAAATCATTAAATTTCACTATCTCCTATTATATCAGGAAACTGTTCAAAATCTTTTATATATGAAACTTTTTGGTAATGTATTAAGATTACATTATAAATATAAAATCCCCTTGAGAGGATTATTTTTGAATTGTTTTTAACATTAGTTAGTATAAATTTTTCTGGCATTGGAATCCGGTAATGGCTCTTTTAATTCTAAATTATTTAAAATAAATTTTATAAATTTCAAGTTAAAGTTAAAAAACATAAATAAATTGTTATTAATAAATACTTGATTAAAAATTTAGTTGAAAAATAAATATAGATTAATACAACCAAAGGAAAAATTGCGCTAATTTTGGAAAAAAAATTACGACAACAGAAGGAAAAATCATGCTAGGTGGAAATGTGTTTTTTTTTTTTTTTTTTTTTTTCAAAATATTGAGAGGTAAGTGATTAGAATAGTTTAATATTTAATTGAATAAATTGGTTATAATGGTATAAGATGCGGAAAGTTGATTAATTAATAATAACCCCAAATTTCCCTAAATAATATCCATCATTTTTGTGTATCATCTTAACCCAGACAATGCAAGCGAGTTTTCATCGTCTCTAAATTTGTTCTTATCAATGGTGTTCAACAAAACATTGAGCCTGAACTCAATTTTAGACTCGGATTTTTGTAGTTTGGATCGACTTGTGTTAGACTTGGGTTTAATACAAATAAATTATTATTAAAATATTTATGTGTTCTTTTGCATTTTATTATTATTTATAAATGTTATTTTATATAGATGTAAAAAATAAGTATTAATTTAAAGAATTTTTTGCCCCTCTTAAATTTAGTACCTTCATCTAATTACCAATGAGTGCTCAAGTACCTGACCTAGTTGACACTCTTAAAACCGAACTACTATACCTAGTCATCTATCCTTTCCCACAAAAAAAAAATTAAAAAAAAATGAATAAATTAAGTAAATCCATACTAATAAACCCCACCCCCCCAAAAAAAAAATCTAAAAAAATATTCCTAATAATTATTTTATGTGGGATTTAAAGAATAAGGGTTAGGTTTGATTTCATTTTAGATTTGGTTGTCAATTTTGGTTAATTTGGGATAAAAAAAAAAGTGTATTCCCAATTGTTGAGTATTTTATAAAGTTTATGAGGGTAAAACTGGCATCTTTGTGGTCAAAGTTGGTAAAATTAAAATTTTGATGGATGAAGACTAACATTGGTGTTGACGGTGTCTATTTCCGAAACCAAGGGAGAGTATTTCCCTTGTTTGTTTAATTTTTGAAACACTTTTCTATTATCCTATCCTATCCTAAATATAAAAAAAAAATGTGTTTGTTTTAATATTCGACTATTCAATTCAACTGAAAACATTTAAAAATTACATTTCACAAAGTTTATAATTTAACAAAAACACCATCATCCACCGAAGCCATTGTCAGCCACCAGAAACCACTGTCAGTTGCCAATTGTTGTTGTCGGGCATTGGCGTCGGAACAATGCACGATCGGCCAGAAACGACCAGATCTATCTGGTTATTGACGACGGGCATATCTTGGTTGTCATTGATGACCAGATTTTGGACCATGTCTAGGACCATATCTTGCCCATCGTTGACTAGACCTCGCAAACGGGCGGGTTGGGCGGTTTTGGTCCGGGTAGCAATGGGCCGCTGGTGGAACGAGTCGCGGGTTCACGGGTCGACATTTTCATGATCCGTACCCGCCCATGCGGGTACGGGTCACTCGTGAAAAATGCAGCCTTTTGTATTTTTCACAGTTTTTCCATATTTTTGTTATTTTTTACTTTTTTTTTTTTATTCAAAATTTCAAATTGCATACTAAATTATATTAATTTAAAAACCTCATATAAAATTCATGTAATGACTGCTTTATGCTAGGGTACTCATAGAACAATAGTAAGTAAAGGACATGACTAGTAGCAAAAGTAAATGGGCAAAAAAATTTTCTTTATTACATATAAGCATTCTTTATGCAAAATAAAACTATCATTTACAAAATGATATTAAACAGTGGACAGCGTAGCTATTGCTCCTCATTTGTCGACGCCCGTCCAACCGCATTCTCACCTAGATCCTGCAACCACAAAGAAAATAATGGGGTGAGCACAAAATGATGCTCAGTAAGTAAATCTTATACTCGACTGTCCCCGTAACTTCTTTCTCTTAATTCTTTCCTTACACTCTTTTTCATCTCATTTATTATCTCTTTCACACAGCTCTCTTAACTTCTTTTATATGTCACGGTCTCATCTTACCGGAGGCACGGCTGGGTGGAGTTCACACAACACCAACCCACTCTTCATGACTTTCGGGTGGAGATCACAAAGCACCAACCCGTTTTTATACCTATCGGGTGGAGATCACAAAGCACCAACCCGTTCTTAGTGCTCTTCTCATTCTCTCTACTCTTAGAGTAGTTCATTCACACTGTTCTCTACTCTTTCTCAAACTACTCCTCAAATGCACAATTAATGCATATGGATGGTTCATGTTCATTAATGCACTTAGGAAATGCCAATATGCAATGTTGCAAAAATTAAGGTTCACAACTCATGCTCATACTTCTCTTATGCATTTCATCAAACAATTAGTGTGCATACCTACACTTCACTTTATTTATAAGTCCATTCCTCCCTTGAACCATCCAAAATGGGAGAAAACCCTCTCACCAAACTATAATCCCTGCCATAACTTAACACTTCCAAAAAGATTTCTCAATCTCCTCCAATTTCATCACAAACTCCATTCTCATCACACATCACACTTCTCAATTGAAGTGTATTTAACAACCACAAAATAACTACTCATTTCAACACAAGTTCAACAACATAACATAAATCATACATAAATAAATCTCTACTCAAAGGATTTCTCAAATATCAACTTGGATTGGGATTTACTTACCTTGTGATGGTGTGATTCCACTAATACTTCTCTTTTCCTTTGGTAGATGCCTTTTCTCTACACCTTTAAACATTAAGACATTAAGACCTTAACACCTTTATAGGTAAATTTTACATTTAGAGCAAGGATTCTTACCTTAGGATGCCTTAGATCAATTCTCTACCAAGATTCAACTAAAAACCCTCAAAAATCCTTGAAAGCTTAAAGGAAGAATTGAGAGGAAATGATGAAAGAGTATGGCGGTGGAGAAGAATGAATGAAGGGTTTATGAAGTTTATCCCCTTTTTAGCTCAAAATATATTCCTTCATTCCCATATTGCACTTGCTCTTTCTTCGAAATTCCATCTTTGTCCTTTCAATCATTACAATCACACCCTCACTCTAACATATTCTCCATAAAATTTTCTTACATTTCACTCCCCACTTTTCCTGCTAATTAGGGGTAGAATGGTCATTGTGCCCCAAGGGAAGAATTTTCTAGAAACTCAATACACATTTTGTCAAGCCCTTCGTCGCGGCGAAGAATCTTTCTTCGCCCCAGCGAAAAATTACCAAACCTACACCGTAGGTTGCAGGACTTCATCGACGCGGCGAAGCTTCTTCTTCGCTCCGGCGAAGTCTGTAACATAAAAATTCGCCAAGTCTTTACAAATTTCAGGGCAACCATAAGATCCATTCAACCAAGGACCAACCAAACAATATTAACAATGTAACAACTCAATTAAGAGCAAAACAATAAAGATTCAAGCAATGCAACGTAAATTCACTACATACCTCAAGTGGGGTGTTACAATTCATTTATTAAACTTATTAGTTATTAACTTATTATATTAAATAAATGGATGATTAAATTAAATTTGATTAGATTTTAGTTTTCACCAAACATTATTAATTCAATATTAATATTTTTCATATTTATATCAAACTCCACCATATAGATAATAGAATTAATAAACACTAAACATACATAGTAATTACTAATTAGTAAACACTAAACATATAAAATTGTTTAACATTCAACATACATAACATAGTAAACACTAAATAATTAAACGTATATAATTGTTTAACCAAAGTACCAAACACACTAAACAAACAAAGCCTCCCTTGATTATGCAATCTCCTTCCCCCGCCCTTGACTTAATGGCACAACCAGCTGAGCATCATCAATTTCATCTTCTACAATTAACAAGATATAAGTTAACTATCGTAATATATTAACAAACAAAAATATTAAAACATGTGAAATATAAGTTAAAATGTTACCTTTAACTTCATATCCAGAAATCCATATCCTGGTGCATATCAAAGACTCTGCATTCTCCGGTAAAAGTGAACTTCGATATTTACTGAGCACTTTGCTACCAATACTGAAACTGGATTCCGAAGCAACAGTCGTTATTGGTATACTCATCACATCACGGGCCATCATCGAAAGTATCGGATATCGATCACTATTTTTCTTCCAATGGTCCAGGACATCCAAATTGCAAAATTTGATGCGATCAAATCTTGCCTCTCCCAAATAAGTATCCAATTCGGACTTCTTAGTAGCACTAAAGTCACTCTTGTAGTAGTCAAATTCCTGCACCATTTAAATATTTAAATTTAATAAAGCAAAATTACAAAATAAAGAAAACCTTATTAATCACAAGAATATAAAAATATTTAGGGAGTATTGACTTACACAGATATCATCTCCAATGATATGAGGATTACTAGCTTGTCCGCAATCATCTCCAGTGGGAACCTCATGGCCACTTAGACTCTCATAAGCAGCAAAAAGCCTATACAACTCCTGCTGGACCAACTCCAACTTTCTTGTTGCAACTACTGGGCCATCAACTTTTTTGTAACAAAACTCAACAAACTCAAACTTGAAACGTGGGTCCAGAATTGCTGCAATTGCTAACACAACTGTATAAGAATCCCAATATTTGTCAAATTTTCCTTTTATTTGACTTGCCATGGTACTAAGAACTTCATCCTCATTTTCCATCTCTTCGTATAAACGCACTTGAATTCTCCACACATTTCTGAGATACAAGTTTGCTGTGGGGTACTGGGAACCCGAAAAAAGAGTAGTGATCTCATAAAATGGTTGCAAGAACTTGCAAATCCTCTCGCCCCTATCCCATTCTTCATTTGAAGGACAACTTTTATAATTGGGATCTATCAGTGCCAAATGAACAAACACACGACGGTATATTAACGCACTTTCAAGCATTAAATAAGTGGAATTCCATCTCGTGGGAACATCCATTCGCAATCCTTTTGAGCTTATTACACCAATTTGTTTGACAAGTTCTCCAAACTTCATTCTTTTAGCCTCACTTCCTTTAACATATTTCACACTTTCACGAATTTTATGCAAAGCCATGCTACTCACCTTTAACCCTTCTTGGACTATGAGATTCAAAATATGTGCACAACATCGCACATGAAAAAAAGAACCATCACATAATAAAACATTTTGCACACAAAGTTGACTCCTTAAAATGTCTTCCATTTTATCATTGTTACTTGCATTGTCTAATGTAAGAGAGAAGACTTTCTTTTCAATCCTCCAATCTTTTAAGAAATCATACACTATGTCTAACAAAAGAGCCCCTGAGTGTGGAGAAGGAATATGGCAAAAATTCAGAATTCTACTTTGTAACTCCCAGTTCTCATCAACATAGTGAGCCATTAAAGAAATACACCCATCAGTAGTACAAGAACTCCAAATATCAGAAGTCAAGCATATTCTACCTGAAACCCTCTCTAAAGCAAGCTTTTTCCTTTCCTTCTCCCTGTAATATATCTTTAAGCAATCCGCCTTAACGGGGTTCCTAGTATAATGCTTAACTTCATGATTCAAATACATGTGGACATCCCTAATTCTTTCATGCTCCACTATTGAATATGGGTAATTATGTTTTATGATTCCTATTACCATCTTCTCACGATAAATTTCTTGAGAAATCTTCAAACGTCTCAATTTAGTATCACAATCCATCATCATTTGATCTACACTACTAGTAATGGTACGTTTAGGACAACCTTCCATATGGCGCCTCATATTCTTAGTCCCATGACTGGAACTACCATGTGCATAAGACTTACCACAAATCATACACTTTACCCTCACCTCCCCATTATCTTCTACATATGTTGCAAATTGACTCCAAACATCTAAAACTTTACGTCTTTTTGGACAAACAGTACTACCAGTAGAAGGAAGTTGACCTATGGTTACATTACGACCCGTTCCTAAATCTATAGACTCCTTCATACCAAGCCAATCTAAAAGACACAACAAAGTATTTACATTTAAATTAATTAACCAATCATAATTCATAACAGTTCGTCTAAAAAAAATAAAAACACTCCCATATATTTTACAAGGAAACTAGCCCTACCAAATAACTGGATTTTTCCAACTCAACAATCAACACCCCTCAACTCCAATAAGTATAACCAATCATAATTCATAACAATTCATCAAAAAAAAAAAAAAAATTATAATGTGGTATATGCTGTGAAATTGTGAATCATCATTATTTGAGTCAAAAGAAAATAAATATTTGAGCAGGATATTATTAGGGGCCAAAATTTATTTTCAAAACTTTTTAAGCCTCCCTCACGTCACGTTTTTAAGTAGTCAATTTTCACGTTTTTGGTCCCAGAGGCAGAGGGGCATGACTTCTCAGTTAGTCAGTCAGACCACATGCTTTGTAGTTTGTTCTATACTTTTCATTCTCGGTACTCCCTAGCATTCTATCATATTTTTGTCACATGCTTTACCAAAGACAAACTATTTTAATGCACTACTTTTTCAACTCTCCCCTACTATTTTTTATTTTAATCACTAATCAAACATTCCATATTGTTGAGATAAATATTAAGTATTTCATAATTAAAATACAAAAGTAACTTTAACCAAAGTTTCCAGTACTCATCTTTTAGCTGCAAAGGCAGGATATAGCTAAAAGTAACACGAGATTTGATCAACTTGTACTTTACCTACCGTGCTACTGCTGCCCTATCGTGCTGTTGCTGCCTGTTGCTGGTGCTGCCGTGAAAGGAGATCTGCTGTTGCCGTGACCTGACTGCTGTGCTGCCGTGAGAGAATGAGCTGCCATGACCTGACTGCTGCTGCCGTGAGAGAATGAGCTGCTGTGACTTGACTGCTGCTGCTACTGCCGTGAGAGAATGAGCTGCCGTGAGAGAATGGGCTACCGTGACCTGCTGCTGCTGCTGCCGTGACCTGTTGTTGCTGCCGTGAGAGAAGTCAGAGAATGAGGGAGAGTGGAGCTGCTGTGAGAGTGAGAGAGTGAGGGAGTGGAGCTGCTGTGAGAGGACTGAGGAGTGGTCATGGAGCTGCTGTGGCCTGTGAGAGAAGAGAATGAGCTGTTGCGTTTTTTGTTTTTTTTCTGATAAGTTTTGGTTTAGATTAGGGTTTGAGAGTGATAAGTTTTATTTTATTTTTTTTTAAATTTCAAATTTGCGGGTCCGCAGGTAGTACCCGGTCCACCCGCAAAAGTCACAGGCGGGTCGGGTACGGGTCATATTTTCACGAGTCAAGAGGTGTGTAACCCGTACCCACCCGTTGGGTACGAGTACTTGTTGACCTGCGAGTGCGGGTGGGTATTTGCCAGGTCTATCGTTGACGCCCAAATCAATGGCTATGTTAATTGAAAGCTCACATTCCCGCACCCGGGCACCTGGGCACCCGGTTATAGGTCTCTTTTTTACACCCACACCCGCACCTATTTTTTGGGGAAAAACCCACCCCGTTTGTGGCGGGTCCCAGACAGGGCAGATCAAACACCCATCCCTATTCCCACAGTACTCTCACAAGTCATGAATGCAAATCATCGTAACCTAAAAATTCCCAGAAAAATTAACAATATTTAATGGACTTTAGAAGAATTCGTATAAGCCCATTCTAATTTCTCCCAAGTCCAAAATTGTGTTGATGTAAAATTTGGAGTGGTATAGGTAATTGGGTCATTCATCATTGGATCTATACCGGTTTAGTCCAGTCATCAATAGGCCTGATATGCGGATCATTTCTTCAGCTAGTAAAAATGAAACTATCCAATATATGACAGCATAGCCACACAATCAGCTGACTTTGACTGGAACTAATGGGTTGTGATTGTTTTGCAGGTGGGTTACTCATCACCTGCCTGGGCCTCACAGTTGCAGCTGTTAGTAATAATTGTTTCCATTTCTCCATAATCACCTTTGTTTCCTTTCATTATTCAGAGTAAATCAAACCATTTTATATACAATAATATTAAAGTTATCCTCATATAGTTTAAAGAATATATTCGACATTAGCTTAAAAGTTAAAAACTATAGTTCCTGTGTGAAAGCTGAATGTATTGGAATATTTTAATTCAACATGCATAAACATTTCTGTTTCTTCAAAAATAAAGCTATGCTACATATTTCATCTTGTTTCTCCTTGTCAATTTTAAAATCATATAAACTCATAAATTCTTCTGCATTAATTCCCTAGTTTGTTTTCATGCTCACCCTGATCATGAATTGTGCAGAATTCAGTTTTTGGCTCAATAATGACTGTTGGATCAGAAATAATACTTGGTACCATATTAAGTGGCAGGATAGCTGATATACTAGGCAGGAGACTTGTAGTCTTATTAAGTTTCCCTCATTTGTAAACTTCAACCATTCTTCTTCATTGTGTAACTTGTTCATCTCATTAATCAGGCTATGTTCTCTGATATATTATGTACCTTTGGTTGGTTTGCTATCGCTTTCGGGAAGGTTCAATTCTTTTTCCCTTCTGTCCCATTTCATAACTATAATTCATTCACCAAACGCTTTATGTAATCTTATTTCTACATTAGTGTAGACTTTTCACTCGTATACTTAGTTGGAAATGACATCTTTTGGTGCACATTGGCTCTAGTTGGTAATAAAATTCCCTGCTATATAGTGTTAATTTAATCTAAAACTTCAGTCAAAATTGACACCTTTTGCTCATTTTTCTCCAGGTGCTATTCCATGCCTGTTGCAAATTGTAACTTTATTTTTCATTCCTGAGTCTCCCTATAGATGGCTGGTGAGTTCAATTCAACATATTTGTATGGAAAGCAGTTTAATCTTTCTGTAGTATATGTAGGACGATAATGGAGTTTTAAGTACAAAGGACAAATGCTATTTTTTTTTTTTTTGCAGGTTAAAGTTGGAAGCGAAAAGGAGTTTGAAACGGCTCTGCGGTGCCTAAGGGGAGAAATTTCTGATATTTCTCAAGAAGCAGCTGATATTAAGAGTATGCTTACCAGTTACCAGTTACCACTTCATCTTTTTAATGGAGACTTCAACTTCACCTTGAGGGAATTACAAGTACTTTTAATTGTTTTGTAGGATAATTTGGAAACCTTTCACCAGAGCTCGGGAACTAGATTTCCGGAGCTGTTCCGCAAATTCACTCATTGTGAGCGTCCCAAATATGACTCATTCTGTCACCTTTCAGTTTCATGATTTTCCTGATATATCAATGGAATTAAAACTCTTTAGATTGGATTTGGCAGGAGTCAGTGGTATGGCATATTATGCTACTAGTATATTCCAAAAAGCCGGTAATTATCCTGCAGGATTTGCTCATATCAATCATACAGATAATATAGTGAACAGGAAAAGAGATTTTCCATAGGTATTTCCACTAGTCTTGGAAGTACAATAGTAGCTATAGGAGCGGTAGTCACTAGACTCATCTCAAATTTGGATTCTCCTTATTGTATTTCTTATTATGAGCACGTGTTGTTAACGGTGCATAAATTAATTTGGTATATTTATAACTATAGATTTATATAGTTTAAGATTAAAAATAACATTAGGTCTTTGATCTTTTTAAAAAAAGAAATTTTAGATAGGTTTGAGGGTTGTTGATGCTGGATTTTGTCACCAACTACTCGTACGTATAAAGTGCTAAGCGGACTTGAAACTTACACGTGAACTGGAAAATGAAATAAACAAAAGGGAGACGATTTTTAGAGTGGTTCGGATGCTCAAAGCAAATCCTACGTCTACTGTCTTTTTATTTATGAAAGAGTACAATCATGTCGCCTATAGCGATTAGAGAGAACAAAAATACAGAGAGAGAGAGAGAGAGAGAGAGAGAGAGAGTTTATGTTTTCAGAACTAGAATCTCGAAAAATGAGAGGGGAGCTCACTATTTATAGTAAGAGGTTTCTAGGTAATGATTATGGGTCTGCCAACGGGCAGGTGCCGTATAGTTCGTACCCTGCTTCCCATTGGCCTGTTGCATGGAAGATATCCTTAAATCGCGTAGGGCTTGGGCAAGTGGGTGACTCCCAACTACTCACCCCAACTACTCACTTGCCAAGCCTTTACCTGCCAAGCTGATGATAGCCTTACTTCTTTTGTCCTTGGACAACGTGGTAGTGCCTGGACGGCACAATGCCTTCTTGAACTCTGATTGGTCCTTATTGATGTAAGCCTTGATTTTTTAGGCATAATAGAAGCTCTACATTTCTTAAGGTTCAAGGCTTGAACGTTGAGAACTTCATGATTTTGCTATGATTTGGCTCATCCCGAGGATCACTTGCGTGAGCTGTAAGTGGAGAACGACTGAAATAATATGAAGTTCACGATTTTTCTCGACCAGCGAACTAAGTGGAGGTCGCGACGTGGGCTTGGCGAACTTCACAAGTGACCTAAGATGATCATCCCCTAAAGGTTTAGTGACTTGGGGTCAGATCCTGCTCAGTAGGGGTGAGTGGTTCTGGATACCATGCATTTTTCGAGGGAACCGAAACCGGAACTGTACAGTGCAGGTTCCCAAAAAAAGGAACCGAAACCGAAACCAGAACTGCATAATACAGGTTCTTAAATTCAAGGAATCGGAACCTAAAATGCAGGTTCCGATTCTGTTCCCGGGTACCTTATAAAAAATCAATTATCCCCTATTAGTTTAAAAAATGACAAAAATACCTTAAAAGTTTACAAATACACCCCTAACAAATTTTGATTACTCTTTCATTTGTGTCCAATGTGACTCATAAATCCTCTAATCTCTGGCAACACCTGAATTCAATCAATTCATCATAATTCACATAAAATTCCTCAATCAAAACCAAAACACAAACAATTAATTAAATTAATTAAACAATCATACTATAAATCTATAATTTAATATTATAATTAATTAAATTTCTAATAATTTAATTAAGTATTGTACTAACATTTATAATATAATATTATAATTAATTAAATAATCATACTATAAATCTATAATGTAATGTTATATTAATTAAATTTTTAATCATTTAATTAAGTAATGTACTAATGTAGCAAATTACTAATATTTATAATGTAATGTTATAAATTTATAATTAATTAAGTAATCATTTATCTATGTAATGTTATAATTAATTAAGTGATTATAATATAATGTAATATTATTATCAATTAAGTAATTATTTAATTATAATGTAATGTTTTAATTAATTAATTTTCTAATCATTTAATTAACTGTTGTACTAATATTTATAATAGAATATTGTAATTAATTAATTAATCATTTATTAAATAATCATAATATAAATTTATAATGTAATGCTATCATTAATTAAATTTCTAATAATTTAATTAGGTATTGTACTATTGTAGTAAATGATTAATGTTTATAATATAATGTCATAATTAATTAAGTAATCATTTCATTATGTAATGTTATAATTAATTATGTGATCATACTATAATGTAATGTTATAATGAATTAAGTAATTAAACTATAAATCTTTAATATAATATTATAATTAATTAAATTTCTAATCATTTAATTAAGTATTATATTAATGTTTATAATTGAATGTTACAGTTAATTAAGTAATCATTTGTTTATAACGTAATGTTATAATTAATTAAGTAATCATACTATAAATTTATAATGTAATGTTATAATTAATTAAATTTCTAATCATTTAATTAAGTATTGTGCTAATATAGTAAATTACTAATGTTTATAATATAATGTCATAATTAGTTAAGTAATCATTTCATTATGTAATTTTATAATTAATTATGTGATCATAATATAATGTAATGTTATGAAGAATTAAGTAATCATACTATAAATTTTTGATGTAATATTATAATTAATTAAATTTTTAATCATTTAATTAAGTATTGTATTAATGTTTATGGAATGTTATAATTAATTAAGTAATCATTTGTTTATAATATAATGTTATAATTAATTAAGTAATTATACTATAAATCTATAATGTAATGTTATAATTAATTAAATTTTTAATTATTTAATTAAGTAATGTACTAAATTACTAATGTAATGTTATAAACTTATTATTAATTAAGTAATCATTTAACTATAATATAATGTTATAATTGATTAAGTTATCATTTAACTAGTAATGTATTAATGTTTATCAATTTATTTTATATAATTAATTAATTACTAATTTACTACAGATATACTTAGAACTTGATAATTGAAGTAAATAACTAAATATTATATTATTATTCAATCAAATATATTATTCTATTAAAAAATAATTCTTTTAATAACATTAAAATACTTTTAATTGGTCTTAATTCCAATTATACACTTAATTAATCAAAACTGTAATATTAATATATTAAAGTTTTTTATATGGTGTAGTTTATATGTAATAAGTATAATTGTATATTTATTTAATTAGGTTATTGTAAAAATTTAACTTCTTCCATTTTATTTTTTTTATATGTAAAATTACATAGACCCCTTAATCTTCACAAATATTTCATTTCAGCCCAGGTTCAGGGTACCTGCTACAAGTTTCAAGTCGGGTACCTGCTGTAGGTTTTTTTTCCAGGTTTTGGTTCCGGTTCCGGTTCCTCCACATGTAGGAACCGGAATTGAAACCGCACAGTGTCAGTTCCAAAAAAATGGAATCGAAAATGCGGATGAGGGCGTAGTCAATGCGGTGAAGATAACCATGCCAACGTTTGGTTTCTCCAATGGAGGGAAACGTCGATTGATCTTCACGAAGCGTGAAGGTTACTCTTTATGAGGATTAGCGACACGTGGTCGCATCCAATGCCCAAACGTTGCTTGCAAAGGAAACCAAGTGTCGCCTTCTTCCCTATAAAAACCCAACCCCACTTCATGATTTTCACAGAACTCACATCTTTAGAGAGAAAAAAACAAAGTTTTTTGTACTCATATGCCAGTTCATCATTCTTCCAGTTGATGCGCAACCGTCGC